CCTGCTTGGATCTGGCTGTGGTGGGCCCCAGGTGCTGATGTCTAGAAAAGGTTCCACATTCCCGGAAACATCAAGAGCCCACAACAGCCTGAAAATTGGTGGCTGCGTGCCAGTGGGGCTGGGGCAGAGCCCTCCCCAGCGCCCTCCCCCTGCCTCCCATCCAGTTCACACCTGCCTGGGGCCTGGAGGACTCAGGTGCAGACAGACAGCCCTCCAGTCCCGGGCAGAGGGGCGGAGTGGGTGGGCCAGCCTGGCCACATCAAAGGCACCCAGCCTCTCCCAGACTTCTCACTAAGGCCCCAAGGGCCTTGCTCAGCCCCGCCCCAACCTGGAACTGTCAAGCCCATGTGCCCAGGCCTCCTCAGCTCCAGTCTGGATCAAAGGGCACCTCCTCCTCGAAGCCATTCATGACTCCCTGAGCCTGTTGAGAACTCACCTTCCTTTGAGCTGCCTCTTTCTGAGGGCTCCCGTCCCTGTGTGCTACCCCACACTGGAGTGTGTGGCTGTGCAGCACTGCCTGCTACCAAAGACACAGCTTCAGCAACTGCTGCAACACCAGAGACCAGAGCTGGCCTGGGAGCCTGGCACAAGGTGGGGGGCTCGCAATGCACACCTGGTAAGTGTGCGGATCAATAAATGTGCGTGAAGAGAAGGGAGGAAAGCCAGATCAATATGTGACGTAATAAGTATGTCTGAGGTCTTCAACTCTGGTTCCTGGCGCAAGGACTCACAGAACCCTTGTAATCTCCCGAGTGACGGGGGTGTGAAGGGCAGCCTTTGTTATTCATAAAAAACCCCTTTCAACCATACCTGACAGGGCTTCGCTTCGGAGGCCCACCTAGCCCAGGCTAAGTCTCGAAGAACAAGTGGGACTTTGCCTCCAAAAGATGCACAGGGCATGCCAGGCAGAGGGCACCGCACAGGCAAAGGCAAGGAGGCAGGCAGGGGCACGGTGCTGTGGGGAATTTGCACGCAGCCATTTTTCACTTGACTGCCTGCCCCCCGATCTGCCTGCCTCCCACAGGTGAGTCAAGGTCTGGGCCTCTGCCATCAGCCCCACCCCCCGGAGAATCTAGAAGAGAAATATTGACACAACCACCCCCTCCTCAGACAGGAGATGACATTCGCGCTGATGGCATGCGGGTGCCAGCATATGGCTCTGGCTGTCATGTTAGGGAACACAAGTGACTGCCACGTACTGAGATGCTCAACACGCCACCAGGGCCACACCGCGGGCCGCCGCCCACTCACCATATCTGCTGTTGAACAGGATCTGCACGCACTCCCGGAGCGTGTTGATGTCCTCGGTTTCCTTGATGAAGGCGTCCCACTTCTCTATCAAAACACAGGAGGTACGAGTGAGGCCCAGTCAGAGACGTGACCCCGTGGCCCGGCTGCCTCGTGGAGAGACGCCCCCACTGCCCCCACTCCCAAGCCACTCTCTCTCCACCGCCCTGGGCCCCGGGCTTTCCCCTCACAGCCCTTCCACCCGTTCCCACCTCGGACCTGACGCCCCAGCCTCCTCCAGGAAGCGGCCCCACACAGACCCAGGATGCTCTGACAGTCTCCCCACCCGCTCCCGCCTCTTGCCTCTGTCTACCCCACGGGCAGAGGATATGGTGCAGGCTCAGCCGGTCCATCCTGGGCTCCTCCTGCCCCAGACAGGTAGGCAGTTGGGAGAACGCTCCCTTGGAGAACAGAGAGGCTGAGTCCTGACCTCAAAGACCCAACCCTCATGCTTCATCCATCTGGGGTCTCACCTAGCCTTGGAGTTGTTGGCTTCCCCTAAACCCTTAACCCTACTGGCCTTACATGAAACCAAAGCCTCTGTCTCAATTTAACTTGAATAACAAGAGTGATCGTTTGTCATTATAATTATAAAGCAACATCTTTAATTTATTAAGTGCTTATCTGTGCTAAGCACTATATATATATAAAATATCCTATTTAATCCCTCATGACAACCTTTAAACATAGATACTATTTCTCCGTTTCAGATGGGAAAACAGGCTCAGAGATGCGCAGTATTTTGCCTGAGAGCACCCAACCAGTACCCAACGAGATTCTATCCCAGCTTGGACCCCTTGCCCACCATGGCCGCTCCAGCTGGATACCCACATCCTCTCCTTGCCAGGGATGAACCTTGTTTGGGGCAGTGGGGTTCCCAATCTCATCAAAGGGGACTAGGCTTTCTAAAAAGAGCCTCTCACTGAAGGTGAGGCGGAGACCTCCACGAGGCAAAACTGCTGGGAAGTCTTCATCCCTCTTTGGTATAAACGAATCCCCAATTCTCCTGCTCTCGGTTCTCTGTGAGGTACTTTCCAATCTGTCCACATTTTTTTCATACTCCTTGTTTCAAGGAGGTGGCGTTTAGTTCCTCTCTCTCCCTTTGAGTGTGGATTAGATCAAGCTCTGGCTTCTAATGGGTAGAATGTGGCAAAAGTGACAGTGATTTCCGAGGCCAGGTCATAAAAGACATGTGGCTTCCTCCTCACTCTCTCTGGGATCACTAACGCCAGGAAACCAGCTGCCATATGGTGAGGACACTCAAGCAGCCCTGTAGAGGCCCAAAGAGTGAGAACAGGCCTCCTGCCAAGAGCCACACCACTGAGCTTGGAAGCGATGACTCCAGCCCCAGTCAAGCTTTCAGATGATCATGGCCACAGCCGACATGGTGATGACCACCTCATGAGAGATCCTGAGCCAGAGCACCCAGATGAGCTGCTCCTACATTCCCATCCTACAGAGACTTTAAGATATAAATGCTTGCGGGTTTAAGCTAACTTTGGGGGCAATTTGTTATGCAGCAACATGTAACCATTACACTCTGGTTTTACTCACAAGTCCCTTGTGCAGAGCCGTCCTCCTTTCTCTCACAAAGAGACGGCAGACGCATTTCCATTTTATCAAGCACCACCCTCAGCCCCCGACCCCCACTCTGGTCAGGGTGCCGCCATGGGCGCTGTCCTACCTGACTTGTCATGGACAATGGAGAAGAGAATGCGCTTAGAGGCATGGACGTTCTGAATGAGAGGCCCACCAGGCCCGGTGGGCTTCTGTCCTGGACAAGGAAAAGGAAAGGTACAGGTTCGAGGTGGGCCCCAAGAGGGGTCCCCAGATCTGGCTGTGGAGCACAGGCATTGGCTCTGGGGTAACAATGTCACCCAACACAAACACCCCAGAACTGAGTCCTGTATTCACGAACTCTAGGCGAGTTCTCTAACCAGAGGCCTGAGACATTCTGCTACCCAAACGGCAGATCAGGGAGGGCAGGAGGTCTGAGGTCACCTTTTATAGGCATGGGAATCCCAGCCCCCTGCTCAGCCAACACATTTGCATGTGTGTGGGCGTCCTTTTGTTTTCTTATAACTAGAGGCCCGATGCACAACAATTCGTGCAAGAGTAGGCCTTCCTTCCCCCGGCTGCCGGTACCGGCTTCCCTCCTCCGGCCGCCGGCAGGCACCCAGGACCCGGGCTGGCTTCCCTCCAGCCCCGGCTTTGTCAGGAAGGATGTCCAGTCTAATTAGCATATTACCCTTTTATTATTATAGAAGATAGATAATAAACATAACTTATGAGCACCTACTATGTGCCAGCGGTTCTCAAACTTGAGCTTACATTGGAACCACTTAGTGGATTTGTCAATTTGCAGACAGTTGGGCCTCGCCCCCAAAGCTTCAGACTCAGCCAGACTTCGGTGAGGCCTGAGCATGTGCATTTCTAACAAGCTCTGTCATTTAATCATGATCACAACAGCTCGAGGTTGGCACTACTGGCATCTCCATTTTACAGATGAGAAAACTGAGGCTCACAGAGATAAAGATTTGCCCCAGGACACTTAGCCACTAAGCAGAGAAGCCAGGATATGAACAAAGTCTTTCTCATATCCAGCTGTTGCTTCTCTGATGCTTCCAGTATCCCTAATCCAGTGGGTATATAGTAGATGCTTATTAAATGCATGTGACCAAGCATGTTTTCCATAGATTCCTCTGGGAGTCCTCTTGGTCCCAGGCCAAGGACACTGTTCACAGAAGGCTGAGTGAAGGCCTGGTGTCTGAATGCCATTTGTCCTGCCCCAGCCCTGTGCCCCGACATTCCTCCTTCAGTTTTGGGAGGGCCTGAACACCCTGACTTGCCCTAGAAGGTGCCCTACGTGAGCAACCTCTGTCCCACCCCCAGACATGGGGGCCCCCAGCAGAAGCTTACCACAGCAGTCAGAGAAGTCTTGGGCAGTGGGAGTCTTGGACTCAGGCCCAGGCCGGCTGAGGCCCAGGTCGCTGGGGGCAAGTGGGTAGGTGGGCACCTCCTGCTTGAGCTCTCGCACAGCGTGGTTGGGGAGTGCAGTGCTGTACAGGAAGCTGGCCATGGAGGAGGAAGTGGCGCTGGGGGGCAGGTCCTGGGGTGGCCCCTTGGGGGGCCTGGCCATGCAGGCCACAGTCCCGAGACCCCTTGGTTATCAGGGAGACACCGTTCAGCTCCACCAGGGCCTTTGAATCCCGACCGCCATCCTCGAGTGGCCTGGGTAAAGGAGACAAGGACACACAACAGCTCTGTGCACCTGTCCGCTGGCTACAGCTCTTCTGCAGCCCCTCAGCCCTCCCTCCGCAGAACACGACAGCCTGTGAGGTACACAGGACAGGAGCCATCCCCCATTCTACAGGTGGGGGTGCAGGCCTGGGGTGGGGCGTGATGTGCCCAGGGCCACATGGCTGGGCGACCGGAGAAGCCAGGCCCGGCCCTCCGCCCCTGTGTCCCAGTCCACCAATGGTGTCCTTTCAGCTGCAGTTAATCACTCCACCTCCCATCGTACCCCTCTTCTTCCTGGCCCGTGTGCTGCCAGTGGGGCTGGAGCACTGATGGCCCTTGGTCTGCCTTGCCACCTCCACTCTGCCTGGCCGTCCCTGGAGTCTGCAGTGCTGCTGGTGCTACTTCCCCCAACCAAGTCTCTTCCAGCCTCTTTGCAACTCAGGGATCCCCTGGGAGGCCTTCCGGGACTCAACGCCTGGCTCAGGTAACACTCCATGATGGTACTTCTGCCTCACCTCCACCATCAGACTGGCAGCTGTTACAACCAGGGTCCCCTGTGGGGGTCTGAAGTGACCCTACGGGGCTGAGCCAGCATGGAAGCAGGTCACCCTCCTAGCCTTTCCTGGCCCAGCCACCAGACCCTGGCCCCCTCCCAGGCAGGCAGCCTCACTCACCTCTTGAGCTTGAAGCGGATACGGTGGCTGTGCTCCAGGATGGCCATGAGGGCCTTGGGGTCATACTCAGCCGGCCTCCGGAAGGCCAGGCCCTCGGGCAGCCCCTGCACGGCAAGCAGCCCAGGCTCCCTGAGTAGCCTCTCATAGGGCAGCGGCACCACGCTGGCCCTTCCCAGGGCCTCGCCTGTGGGAGGAGGGATCGAGGAGAGGGTCTAGTGTGAGAGGGCAGCCAGGATGGGTGGGGGCCAGGCGTGCTCCAGAGCTGGGGCCATGCTGAGCGACTTTCCTTGGTGCTGGGTTCCCAGGAAACAAGAAGTCCATCAGTTCCTTAAATGCAGATTTCACACAGAATAACCCCAGAGGCTGGTGAGTGGGGGCTGTGGGTCAGGACCCATTGTCTGAGGGCCAGGGCTACCCACTGAGGCATCTGGGTGGAGGGAAAAGCAGGCGTGGGGCTGTGGGCACGAGGTGAGGAGGGGTGAGAGAGATGAGAGAGAGAAAAGAGGGCATGAGAGAGATTGCAAGGAAAAAGTCACAGGGAGGAAGGGAGAGGAGAATGAGAGGGAGAGAAAGTAAGGAAGACAGGAAATAGAGAGGAAACAGAAAGAGGGGATTCAGAAAGAGAGGAGAGAGACAGCCTGAGAAGATGGAAAGGATGAAGGGAGGGGTGAGTAGAGGGGAGCCTGGCTGGGGACCGAGGGGGTGGTAGGGCCTAGAGGCCTGGGCTCAGAAACATCTGTTGTTGCCTCTATGCGACAGCCCTCACCTCAGTGTCACCTCTGATTCTGCTCAAGGTGGGGGAGGGGGCCAGGGCAGAGTGGGCAGGGGCAGAGGGGACTCCGGGCACGAACCCTGCAGCTGGCAAAAGTGTCTGCAGTGGCGTAGCCAACCCCGAGTGACAAGTCCTCTTGTCCCAGGGGGGCCAGTGTGCTTACGTAGGACCTCCGGGCCCCATCTCCCCGCCTGGCCTCCTTCTCCCGACATTTAAACAACAGCAGGCGCTCCCTCACAGACCTTTGCTCCACAGAACCCAAGAGGAATGGGGAAAGGTACAAAGTGAGACAGAGATAAACGAGGTAGGGCCTGGCCAAGGTCACCTGGGAAGTGTGAAGGCTACCACTGGGCCCTGACTCTGCAGCCTGACCCTTTCCAAGAAAGGCCAGGCCTGTCCCTCCCCAGCCCCGGAGGAAAGACTTGGCTGCCAGGTGGCCTTCCCTCAGTCATTCAACAAATGCCCCCTGAACCCTGCTGCTGCTGGGCCCTGACCTGCAGGCTGGGACCACAGGAACAGCAGGTACATCCCTGACCCAGCTGAGAGCAGCTGCCTGGTGAGGGGAGAGGGCACAGTGGGTATCCAGAGGGGGCCCCAACCAGTCTGTGGGGGCTTCCTGGAGCTGAGCCTTAGAGTAATATGGTCTCCACCACACAGAGGAGAAGGCAGCCCCCAAGGGCACAGTGGTGCAAAGGCGAGGGGGTGTGAAATGGAGCCAGGGTGTGCTGGAGAACAGGAAGTGGCTCAGGAGGTGGGTCAGTCCGGCCGGCCCAGCTGGAGAAGTGGGCGGGGAGGGGCTGTGGTGGGTGCTCCAGCCACACTGAAGGTAGAGCCTAACCCTTCCCCCTGACAGGGCACCCCCAAAGGAAGTGCAGGAAAGAGCATGGTCAGACTTGTGCTTTAGAAAGATGCCCTTGGTCACAGATGAGGAGGCCTGGGCCATTTCTGGGTGAGAGGTGGCGGTGACCACCAGGGCCTGGGCAGGGGCAGAGGGGATGGTGGGTGAGGACACGGGCTGGGGTGGAAGGTCCATGTCTAGAGATGCAGGAGGAAGGAGAGCTGCACTGAAGTGCTGCCTAGGGTCCATAGTGGGGCAGAAGGGAGCCTCCTCATCTGAGTGGGGACCAGGGCTCCCACCCGCCTGGGGCCCCCAAATGGAATGAGGAAGGATCTTACTATAAAGAACATCAAACACCTCCTCTACCATCTTCCGCAGAAGGTACACATCTGAGCCATGCTCCAGGGTGGACCGAGGGATGTTCCGGCCGCCAACCTCACCCCGAGGCACCCTCTTGTGGTGCTCTGCCTCCGGCTCCTTCCATGGGGGTCCTCCTGTGGGACACAGAGCATACGGAGGGGTGGTGAGCACCCATCTCACCACCTGCCCAGGGAGCTGGACTGTCCCTGCCCTGTGCTGAGCTCAGCAGCGGGGCACCCAACACAAAGTGCAAATGAATGAGTGAATGAATGAATGAAGAATTAATGAGTGAGCAAAGCCTGCGTAGGGCCAGGCTAGTCATGGGGCCTGGGTCTCGTCCCTGGCCACCCCTAACCTGCTGTGTGACCGTACGCAAGTGTCTTTCCTCTCTGGGCCTCTGTGAGCTCTCCCTGGAGACCAGCTGGCCTGGCTCAGAACTGGGGTCCAGCCCTAACCGGTTTGGCTTGGTGGATAGAGCATCAGCCTGCGGACTCAGGGGTCCCAGGTTCGATTCCGGTCAAGGGCATGTGCCTTGGTTGCGGGCACATCCCCAGTGGGGAGTGTGCGGGAGGCAGCTGATCCATGTTTCTCTCTCATCGATGTTTCTAACTCTCTATCCCTCTCCCTTCCTCTTTGTAAAAAATCAATAAAATATATTAAAAAAAAAAAAAAAAAGAACTGGGGTCCAACGAATGTCTATTCCATCTGTCTCTTTCTGTGCTCTGACACTAACGCTCCATTTTAAACGATCGAGGCCCCCGCTTTCTGCTCTGCCAAGTGGGGAGATGATGAGGACCCCACCAGGGGGCTGAGAGGCTTGGAAGAGGCAGGTTCATGCAAGGCTGGGCTAGGGCGGAGGCTCAGGCGTGTCAGTGGGTCCCTGGGTGGGGAAGCTGCGGGAAACATGCAGGAAAGGAGACGAGAGGAGAGTCCAGAGGCCCCCTCCCAGCTTGCAGCCTGCTCTCCTCCGAGGAGCTGTGACGCTTGAAATAAACCAGCCCGAGTTCCCGGTGCTATAAATAGTGGCTCTGCCTGGCTCCGCCAAGCCAGGTGCACCTTTGTCAGGCCCCAGTCTGGCTTCCGGCCTGGCCGACTGGGGACCACAGACCCTGCTACTGCCCACCCGACCCGGCCCCGGCCTCCCGTCCTCCCTTGGAGAGGGTGCAGGCTCTGAGGGCTGAGTGGGACGGGGAGGCCAGGGAAGCGGCTGGACCCCAGGAGTGGTATGTCCAATGCTAAGGGAGGGCTGTCCCTGAAATGGCTGATCCCAGGGTCCAGACCTGGGGTGTAAGGAAAACGCTACACTGGCCAGACAACCGCTGGCAGTCACTGAGTGTGAACTAAGGGCCAGGCATTGCTCTAAGTGCTTGCCGTGTATTCATTCATTTAATCCTCAGGTCGACCTGTGAGGAGGGGAAGCACTGTTCTCCCCTTCACAGATGAGGAGGTTGAGGCCCGGGAAAGCAGAATGTGGCCCCAGGCGTCTGACTCCAGGGCCTGCCCTTAACTCCAGAGCTCTGAATCCCCAAACTGTGGGCTCGAATGCTCGATTGAGTGCTGGCCTTCAGTGCTGGGGCCAGGCCCTAATCCTGTAGGACCCAAGAATCCGCCAGAAAGGTGAAGGTGACCTCCCCCCGCTTACTGCCAAGCTGGGGCACCAGGCGCAGATGGAAATTTAGGGCACAGGAGGCTGGGTGGTAGGGGGAGCAACCACAGCAAAGGTTCAAGGGATGGAGGGGCCTAAATGCGGCCTGGGGGAGAGGCTGGGCAGACACCTGCCAGGGAGAGGAGAGGATGAGGACCTTCCAGGTGGGGCAGAGGCAGAGATGGGAAGGGACACGGGGCTGGTGAACTAGCAGGCAGCGCAGCGCAGCCGGGGTAAGTACAGGAAACGCCGGGAGGTGAGATGCAGAGGCAGGGCCTGGGTTAGGAGGGGCCTAAGGCTCAGGTAGCGTGGAAGGGTTGGGGGCCTCAGAACGACTCCTCTGGCTCAGGGGCTCCGGCTCACAGCCCTGAATGTCGGTCTCTGCTGAGAGCGACCCGAACCCCGTGGCAGGGCTCTTGGGGTGCCCGTGCTGCATCTCCCGATTCTGAAGGAGTGCAGCAGAAAGAGCATGGGTTTCAGAACAGAGGTCTGGCCTCAGATCCTGCCTCACTCACTCATCAGCTAAGTCCCTGGGGAAGTGGCTTGTGCTCACGGAGTCTCAGTTTCTTTTCTTTTTTTTTTTTTAATTAAATATATTTTTATTGATTTCAGAGAGGAAGGGAGAAGGAGAGAGAGAGATAGAAACATCAATGATGAGTGAGAATCATTGATTGGCTGCCTCCTGCAACCCCCACACTGGGGATTGAGCCCACACCCCAGGCATGTGCCCCCGACCGGAATCGAACCTGGGACCCTTCAGTCCACAGGCAGACGCTCTTCCCACTGAGCCAAACTGGCTAGGGCTCAGTTTCTTATTTGTGAACCAGGGGTAACTGTAACTGTGCCCTAAGCCTGCTGGGAAAAGTAAACGGTAGCAGTACGTGCAGGGCCAGAGCACCATTTATCAGAGCAGCACTAACTGCTCCCATTTACCGAGCATTTCCTGTGTGCTGCTGGACGTGTCCTGTCACTCCATCCCCGAGCCACCAGGAGGTGGCTCCAAGATTGTTACTATACAATGACAGTGCCTACCTCCAAGGTTGACGTCAAGATAAATGTGTTGGCATTGTGAAGGGTGTTGCATACAGCAGGCACTCAGCAAGTACTAAACAAGTGTGCTCAGCCTCTGTGTCAGGGACGCACAAGAACTGGACAGCACTGGGCCTCAGTGTCCCCTTCTGTCAATGAGCCGATGGGGCTGGTCAGCCAGGCTCTACCAACCGAGGGGCTGCTGTATGATTCCAACTAAAACGGGGGCTGCCCCTGATAACGCCAAGTCGGGAAGCCTGCACAACCCCCTCCTGTCCAGGGCGTCCCCCCACAGAGACACCCAGTGTTGTTCTGGGGACCCAATACCCTGGCCCTGCAGAGTCCCGGGGTACTCACGGCAGAACCTGAGGAAGTCTGATTGCAGCTCCTTCCGCGCGGTCAGAAACATTCTGCCCTTCTCGGTGCCCACCACGAAGGCGCTCTCATCATGCACAGCGACACAGGCCACCTCTGCGTTCAGCTTGGAGAGCGCCGAGCACTACAGGGGGAGCAGGGTACGTGAGCCGGGGGAAGGTCCCCCAGCCCCGCACACCTTCATGCAGCTTTGGGGGTGGGATGTGAGTTCCCACCAGCAGCTCCAGGGAGCAGTGGCTCCTCCAACATTCTCAGTCTTAGAATCTGCAGGGGAATCAATGAATGACCCGGCCGCTCCCCCCCCCGCCCCTCCCAATCTCCTACCAGCTTGGCCATGGTCAAGGGGAGAAGATAAGTTTACGGAGGCTGGAGGAAGACCAAAGGCACAAGGCCTCTGCCCTTCCTTCTTCCCAGGTCCTCCCTGCTCTGGGGTGGGCTTCCTCTGTTAGGCCCGGACCCAGCCCCAGGGACAATCCTGTCCTGGACTCTATGCCTTGAATGAGGAAAAGGTAGGAATGGGCCCCAGGAGAACCAAGGCTCAGACAGATCTAGGCTTCAATCCCACTTCAGCCACTTCCTGTTGTGGGACTGGGGCAGTCACACCCCTCATAGGGCCCGTTTCCAAATCTGTAGAATAGAGACAAGAAGCCCAGCTCGAAGGGTTTCAATGGGTTTGGTTGTGGGGATTCAAGGAGGCCTTGTTGGCGGGAAAGTTTTTCTAAACCGGGCATCCATGTGGACATCCGGGCAAAGAGGTATTTTGCAGCCCTAGAGTTGAGGTTGGCGGGCTCACTGCAAGGGGCGCCCTAACACAGGGGACCCTCAACCAAGACCACTAACGTCTCAGGCCTCTGACCTATCTCACCAGGAAAACCCTGCCTGTAACTTTCAGCATGCAGTTGGTGCCTGATAAAGGCTGGTTTTTCTGAGTTAGGTAGTGCTTTGCTGACAGTCAGGAAATCTGGCTTCTCATCTCAGTTCTGCTGCTGTGTGACCTAGACATGTTCCTCACCCTCTCTGGGCCATAATCATGCCTCTTGTCCAGCTCCATCCTGGAGTTGCTCTGGTGAGGAAGCTGGGACATTGCAGGGCCAGCAGGCCTGTCCCCACTGATCCCCTACTGAAGGGGGGTTTGTTTTCTACTCTCTAAGATTAAAGCAAAACCTGCCACTCCCTTCCCTCACAGCAACACTGCAGGATATTAACAAACAAGACAAACAGATCTGGTTGTTTCTAACAAAGGAGTGGCTGTCAGAGTTGGAGGAGATCCCTGTGGTGTGGTCACTTCTTAGCTGAAGGAGCTGAGGCCCCGGCAGGGAATCGACTCACCCAAAGGCACCAGGAATGGGGGCCGTGAGGAAATGCCTAGAGGAGGGTCTGAAACAGGGGTGGGGCGGGTGGTGGTGATGGACAGCACTTGCCCACACCCCTGCGGACCACCTGAGGACCCTGGCTCCGAGCGCTGGAGGATGCCAGAGTTCAGTCACTTCCAAGCAAGTGCCTTGTCACCCAAGAAGGTCCCTCAGGAAACCCGTTAAGGGCCTAGGGGCTGGGGGAGCTTATCTTCAACATGTCACCAGGCTAGCTAGAACCATCAGCTCCTCCAAGCCCCACGGAGCCTCGGAAAACCCTCTGGACCAGTGCTGTCCAATAGGATTTTCTGCCGTGTTAGAAATATTCTGTTTCTGCCCTGTCCAATACCGTGGCCACTCGCCTCATGTGGCCACTGAGCACTTGAAATGAGGCTAGTGTGACTGAGCAACTGAAGTGTTTACTGTATTTAATTTTAGCTCGTTACCATTTAAATGGCAATGGCCTCTTGTGGCAAGTGGCTGTGGTGATGGCCATCAGTGCCTGTGTCAGCTGCGCTTCCACCACCGCCAGGCTAATACTGCCGCAGGGCACGGGCGGCTCCCTCCTCATGAAGGCGGCTCTGCACAGGGCAGGGGTTGCACCCAGCCGCCTTCCCCGGGGTGCTGCTACCTCTGGCCCAACACCACCTACGCAGCTCTAGGACCGCCTACAGCGGAACAGCCTGGAAGGAGGCCCTTTGTCGTAGGGAACTGAAGACTTTGCACCCGAATCCACTTCAAAAACTGGTCATACTGTGTGACTTCAGGTAAGGGGGTGCTCTCTCTTGAATTTCAACTTCACCATCCTAAAATGCAGATTAAAAAACACACCTGCCTACCCTCCATCATAGAACTTTCCCCGGAAAAGGACAGAGGAAAATTATATTATTATTTTCTCATTTGAGGTAAACTGCTACAGGCTTAGATATGTAGGCAACGGTGCCAGCAGAGTAGTAATTTATGAAGTCCTGTTTCTCTCTCCCAGCCCCAAGATGCAGCGACAGCTAACGAATCACTGCCCACACATTATCTTCCAGGTGCTGGGAGGCAGGCCTGTGACCATGCCAGGGACGGGCCTTGAATAAGAGTTAATGAAACGAGGAGCAGGGGATGAGGACTGGGGCCAGCCTTTATTCCCAGGACTGGATGTTTATGTACTTAATCTCACTTGAGCCTCTCGTCCCCTGACGTAGGCAGAGGTGGGACTCGAGCTCCAACGTCTGGTTATAAAGCTGGGTGTCCCACTCCCTGGGGGGGCGGGGGGAGCAGGGTGGGTACTCACCATGGAATCTAAGGCAGACACAAGGCTGGTGATGATCTCGTCTTTGCGGGCGAAGGCGGAGTTCCAGCGGTCAGGCCCACAGCCATTGGTGGGGACGTCACAGCGCTTCCCCAGCAAGGCCATGGTCACCTGGACAGAGAGAGGGAGCAGACAGTGGTGGGTGTGCGCCATGGGGAGTGGAACACGTGGTAGGGGCCCACCCCGACCGGCTTGGCCTCAGACCTCAGGGCTGTTTCTACTTCCCACGTGGGACAAGTCAAGAGCTGGCCTTCTCTTCTCCTAAGGGTCTTATATGAAGATGGAATCAGAGCCTGACAGACCTGGACACGCAGCGGCTCGCGTGTGGCCTGTACAGGCGTGGCACAGGTGGCAGGATGATGGAGACATGTGCCCCAGATACATCCCCCAAGTCTGCAGCCTCAGAGCTGAGCCCAGGACTATGACCAATCTGTCCAGCAACCCAACCATCAACTCTCCCCATACACACTGCTCTGGCTATAGTTCTCTCTTGCTCACATACCCTATGTGGCTCCCTACTGCCCACAGTTCTGGACTCAGCTTGGTATTCAAGGTTCCTGGTCCAGACACCCATGTTCCAGGTATTTTAGGTGTCATCATCCCCCAAACATACCCACATTCTTTAAAAAAAAATTATTTTTTTATTGATTTCAGAGAGGAAGGGAAAGGGAGACAGACAGGAACATCAATGATGAGAGAGAATCATGACTGGCTGCCTCCTGCATGCCCCACACTGGGGATCGAGCCCGCAACCCGGGCATGTGCCCTGACTGGGAATCAGACCGTGACCTCCTGGTTCATAGGTTAATGCTCAACCATTGCGCCATGCTGGCTGGGCAACGTACCCACATTCTTGTGGCTCCCCAGCTGTCACAGGCTCCACTCTCCCTGCCCCGAGTGCCTTTCCTGGCCCCTTCGTCATCTATTGACTGCCTGCTCAGCTTTTAATTGTTGCCTCTGCTGTGAAGGCACCCCCTCTCCCCCCACTTCCTGCCCTCTCCTGCCCCAGCTACCCTTGCTGTCCTCCCCAGGTCCCCGAGCTCCTCCATCACAGCTCTGCATCAAGCCACAAGCTCCCCTGGGGAAGGCCACTGCTCCGAGGCCCCTGAGCCACAGTCTACTTCCTGGCTGTCAGGGCTCAGTCTGAGATACAGAGGTTGCTTCATCTCAGACCTGGGTTTCTCACACACAGGACTTTGTCCCTCGTCATAAGGCTCCTGGAGAACAGAGCTGCATTCTCCCCGTCTCTGGGGCACCCTCAGACCAGGGCTTCCCTATCAGGAATTCCCTAGGCAGGAAACTGGCCTGCCGCCCCTGTACCACCCAGCCTGGTCTGGGCACCCACTAGATGCAAAGGTCAGCCTCCCTCAGTTCCCGTCCCATCCTGCCCTTCCCCTTCCAGACCCCAGGAAACACATCCAGGGGGCCCACCCACAGGCTGCAGGCCTTGGAGGGAGTTTGCAGATCCGGCCTCCTTACGTCCAGCAGATCGGGGTGAAGGAGTCTGTGTACATGACTAGGGATGGGGCGGGGGCGGGGGCGGGAACCAGCACTGGGCGGGTAAAAGCTGGGTCTGGCACCTTAAAGGATGCCAAGCCTGGAGTATCTTCTATCAGTGCAGCTACTGTGAGGACAGGGACCCGTCTGCCTGTCACCGCTGCACACCCAGGGCACAGCTCAGGGCCGGACATATACGATGGACCAAGGCACTGTGGTCCAAACCAAGGACTGTGGCCTTTAAGTGGCTCATAACGTCGATGACATAGAAGAGCAAATATCTGAGTGTGTCACATACAACAAGGTGAGAGGTGTCGGACTTTAGTTATAGAAATAGTCAAAGGAATTAGGGCTGCATCAGAGCCTGGCTCTGGCCTCAGTCTTGGCCCGAGTCTGCTGTTGGCTGTGGATAAATATTGATTTTAACAACTGGCCAGTCAGCAGTTGCCAAAATGTATACTGGGTTCACTTCTAAATGTTTATTAAATGTATTTCTTCCCCTAGGTTGCAATATGATAGACGTTCAAAATCCACAGTTTTAAGGATGCCGAGGGTAGAACAGGCCATGAATAAGGCGCGCTAATGGACCAAGAGGCAGCAAGCACCAGGGCCAGGGGCCTTCTGGGGCACGACCCGCTGAGAGGTTCGCCTGTCTGGGCTGCTTGTCCCCTCCCTCAGCTACCCCCGCTTGCCAGTCCCTTGAGCCATTCCCAGAAAGGCCTCTGGCTGCCAGCCTCCCAGCTGCTGAGTCCAAATCAAATCAGGGCAAAGGAGGAGGCACCAGACAGCGCTCCAGCCCTGGCCTCCAGGTCGCCCCAGCCGGCTGCGGCTCCTAATCCATTTAGGAAGGATCCAGGGAGTCAGAGAGGGAGGGGTGATGGAGGGAGTGAAGGGAGGCTGGGCTGGGGGCCATCCCCTGACTCCTTGTCTTGGCTGTTTGGGCTCCTAGGAGACTCTGTCCTAAGCCAAGGAGGCCCAGCCTTGTGTTCGGGGACGAAGGAGAGAGAAGATCCTCCTGCAAACTCCCAGGCCTCTGAGAAGGGCGGGTTCCACGGGCTGGAGCTGCTGCGGCTGGGGCTGGGGCAAGAGCGCTGGCTGGGAGCCATGAGCCATGACCCCTGCACACAGGAGACCCAGACCCAGGTCTGCTGGGACCACATCGGATCAACCACGTAAACGGGGGGTAGTTCTAAACTGAAAATGAGAGAAGGGAAAAAATCACCCAATAAAACCACAAAACTATACGAAACAGAACACAAAGTACGACAGGCAGTTCACAGGAGGCAAGTGCCCAGGGACATCAGAAGTGACACCAGAGCATGGGCAGCTGGCCTTGACCTGGGCACAAGTGGCCAGGAAGCCCTCAGTGACAAGGGACTCCCAGCCCCGCTGGGTTCCTGGGTGGGCAAGGACCGTAAGGGCCAAGAGGCAGGCAGGGAGACCGCGAGCACCCGCTCCATCCTCAAACACCTCCCGCGGCTGCCAGGGCGCCACACACCTGGTTTTCCTCCCACCTCCTGGGCATTGCCCTCCTGGCACTGACTGCCAAGCGCCAGTGGGTCCAGGGCCCTCTCCTCTTCCCTGTCCAACACCCTCCCTCACTGCTGGGCAATCTCTTGGCTTTAAATGTCACATATGTGCTGGTGACTCTCGATTTCTCTCTCATGTCTCCTGAGATGCCACCTCCAGCCTGCCTCCTCCACTACTCTTCACTCTCCACCATCTAATGAGGAACTCACAGGGAGCACAGTGTGTGTTTCTCGCTCAGATCTGCTTCCCTCTGGTCATCCACCCAGGCTGGAACCGAGGCCTCATCCCGGAGTCCCCTCTCTGTCGCTTCTAAAACAGTCGGGGGCAAGTCTCGCTGCTCGGCTCCAGAACCCACCCACGTCTGTCCACTCCTCACCTGCCACCCAGGCCACCATCCTCGCTTACCCACACCCGGCAATGGCCTTCTCACTGGCCCCCCTGCCCTTCTGTGCCCTCTCCCCCTCAGTCCCTCCTGTAAACAGCAGCCACATAAATCCCATGCCGCTCTCCTGCTTAGAAGCTTCTTGTTTTCCCACTGTCCACAGAATGGAAAGTAACCTCCTTTCGCTGCAGGCCCCGCGTGTCCTGGGCTCACCTAGGGCCTCCTATGCACGTTCCTCCCGGCGGAAGGCCGTTCCAGGTCTCCGTCTCCTCCCGCTGCCTCCTTTGCCCACCACGCCTCAGCCTCATCACCAGCTCCTTGGAACCTCCCTTGACCATGAAGCCACAGGGGCAGTCCCCACACCATACACTCACTCCTCATGTCTTCCCTTATTGTCTTCATGGATCTGAATGACTTGTTCGGGAGCTTCTCGCCCGATTTCCCCAACTAGAATGTGAGCTCTGGGTGGCCAGGGCTCTCGAATTTACCGTATCCCCACTGTCTCGAATGCTGCTTGGGGTTTCATGGGCACTCAACAAGTATGACAGTCGGCCACTTCAGGTGGGAGCCAGGACATCTGCAAGCTATGAGCAGAGTGTCTGACAACTTTGGCTTGTCTGGCTCTCAAAAAACAAAAGGTGCCCGGCCGCTGTGGCTCAGTGGTTGAGGGTCGACCTATGAACCAGGAGGTCAATGGTTTGATTCCTAGTCAGGGCACATGCCTGGGTTGCAGGCTTGATCTCTAGTAGAGGGCATGCAGGAGGCAGCTGATCAATGTTTCTCTCTCATCATTGATGTCTCTCTCTCTCTCTCTCTCTCTCTCTCTCTCTCCCCTCCTCTCTCTGAAATCAATAAAAAACATTTAAATTCCCCCACCCCCACCCCCGCCAAAAAAAATACCAAGAGGCAGTCTGAGAGATTGCAACTCTGGCCAGTTAGATCGTGGAGGAGCAGTCCTGGGATGGAAAGGGAGGGAGGCTTCCGGGTCAGACAGGTGTCCTGGACAGGTGCGCTTCCAAGATGGTCCCAGGCCTGCAGCACTGGCAACACCCAGACAGCCATCAGAATGTCTGGGGTGAGTATGAAAGGACTTGCCTAAGACCCCCAGCCACTGGGTAGTGGGGATGAGGTCTGTCCTTGTCTGTCTGTCCCTAAGCTTGGTCTTTCCCGTTGGGAGGACTCCTCCTGCCACTCGCCAGGACATGGGGAACAGGAAGACCAGGTGATCGAATCCACAGCTGTCACTCAACCAGGTTGACCAACTTACCCTGATTCACCTGGGACTTTCCTGGGTTTAGCCCAGAAACCTGTTAGACCCAGGCAAAGCAGGTGGTTGGTCAGTCCACCACACAGACAGGGACCAGCAGGACCAGGGGCCCAAACGCCCCTCTCGGCCTCTGAGAACAAGGACAGACACCAACAAGGAAGACAAAGTCATGGACGTTAGGTCCTATCTTCGGGTCCAAAATATTCCATCTCACTTAGGATGGAGATAGACAGGCTGGGACAGAGCAGGAGCCTCCCAAGGGGGCGGCAGAGCCACTTCATCCAGGGAGCTTACAGGAGGCAGCGACTCTCCTGATGTGCCTGCGGGCCTGGCAGGAGTGTGTGTGTGTGGGGGGGGGGGGGGCGAGGGGGAGGGGGACAGAAGCCTCAAAAGGCAGAGCTAGAGCGTGTGGAGAGCAGACCTGGGATC